ACGCTTGACCATCTGAGCCACCCAGGCGCCCTCTTCTAAAAATATTTAAAGCTTTGTTTTTCTGATTCAGGTTTGCATTCCATCTGAAATTTATTTTTTATATGGTATAAGGAGCACATTTTTAATTGTATAGTTAAACAATTATTTCAGCATCATTTATTATCATGTATAGTTTACCACTTTCCCACTGATTTGTAATGCCAATGCTGTCATATGTTGTGTTACCATGTGCATGTGGTCTGGACTTTATTCTGTTCCATTTCTGGACTCGTATATTCTTGTGCCAATGCAACAGAATTCTAATTAGAATGATGTTACAGAAAATCTTGCTAACTTATGGGCAAGTCCCCACATCTTGTTCTTAAAAATTGTGGATAATCTTGGCTTCATTCTAGCATATGAATTTTTTAAATGGACATGGAATAGATTTATTATTTAATTTTATCATCACCTTGTCAAATTCCATGAAAAATCCTGTTCAAGTATTCATTGAAATTACATTAAGTTTATAGATTAAACCTGGAGAGGACAGACAACTTCATAATATTTTCTTCCTGTCTAAAAATAAGGACTATCTCTCCCTCTACTTTTTGGTGATTAGATGAATTGTTTTAATTGATTTTTTTTTAAAGATTTATTTATTTATTTGAGAGAGAGAGAGAAAAAGCACGAGGCGGAAGGGGCAGAGGGAGAGGGAGAAGCAGGGCTCCCTGCTGAGCAGGGACTATGATGTGGGGCTCCATCCCAGGACCTGGGGATGATGACCCGAGCCAAAGGCAGATGCTCAACTGACTGATTTTAATTAATTTTAATTTTATTTTATTTTAATTCCAGTATCATTAACATACACTGTTACATTTGCTTCATGTGTACAATGTAGTGATTCAGCAATTCTATACATTACTCAGTGCTCATCACAATAAGTGTAATCTTAATCCCCTTCACCTATTTCACCCATTCCCCCACCTAACTCCCCTCTGGTAACTATCAGTTTGTTCTCTATAGTTAAGAGTCGGCTTGCTTGCTTGCTTGCTTGCTTGCTTCCTTCCTTCCTCCTTCTTTCTTCCAAACTCTACCCCAAACGTAGGGCTTAAACTCACAACCCCAAGATCAAGAGCTACATGCTCCACGGACTGAGCCAGCCAGGTGCCACTGTTTGTTTTCTTAAATTCCACATGAGTGAAATCCTATGGGATTTATCTTTCCCTGACTGACTTCTGTCACTTAGCATTATATTCTCCAGTTCCATCCATGGTTTTGTAAATGGCAAGCTTTCACTCTTTTTTTATGGCTGAGTAATATTCCATTGTATATATACATATATATACATAGACGTACCACCTTTTCTTTATCCATTCATCAGCTGATAGACACATGGGCTGCTTCCATAATTTGGCTGTTATAAATAATGCTGCAATAAACATAGGGGTACATATATCCTTTTGAATTAGTGTTTTTGTATTCTTTGGGTAAATACCCAGTAGTGGAATAACTGGATCATATAGTAATTGTATTTTTGATTTTGGGGGTAAACTCCATACTGTCTTCCACGATGGCTGCACCAGTTTGCATTCCCACCAACATTGCATGAGGATTCCTTTTTCTCTACATCCTTGCCAATACTTTTTGTTTCTCATGTTTTTGATTTTAACCATTCTGACAGGTGTGAGGTAGTATCTCATTGCGGTTTTGAGTTTCACTTCCCTGATGATGAATGATGTTGAGCATCTTTTCATGTGTCTGTTGGCCATCTGTATGTCTTTTTTTCTAAAATCTTTTAGAAGATTTTATTTTTAAGCAATCTCCACACCCAATGTGGGGCTTGAACTCACAACCCCAAGATCAAGATTCAAAAACTCCACTGACTGAACCAGCCAGGTGCCCCTGTATATTTTCTTTGGAGAAATGTCTGTTCATGTCTTCTGCCCATTTTGTATAAGTTCTTTATGTATTTTGGTTACTAACTCCTCATCAGGTATATCTCACCCATTCAGAGGTTGTCTTTTAGTTTTGTTGTTTCCTTTGCTGTGCAGAAGCTTTTTATTTTGATGTTGTCCTAATAGTTTTTTACTTTTGTTTCCCTTGTTTTAGGAGACAGATCTAGGATAATGTTGCTATAATACTTATGTATTCTTTAAGTGTTTCATCAATACAGCTGTATAATTTTTTTTCCATATGGGTCTTGATCATCTTTTGCCAACCTAACCTTACATATTTAATAGTTTTATGGCCATATCTAATGATTTAATGGGATCTTTTAAAATCATTTTCTAATTGGCTATTTCTGTTGATTTTTGTATAGTAATCTTGTATCCAGAAACCCTATTAGTTGTAGTAGTGTGGGCATGTGCATCACATTAATAGATCTTTTGATGTTATTTTCTGGCATTCCAGGGATAACCCAATGGGGCCATGGCTAAATTCAATTTTCTAGAACTTGACAGCTTTTAAAAGGTGCCTTTGTACAAAATCTGTAATCTTTTAGGTTACAGAGAAATTGAATGACCCCGCAGAGTAACTTCATCTATCAAAGGGTCAAAAGGCTTATGCAAAGCTGGCTATTTTGGCCTTGAAACCTAGAACAGCCTTACCTGCCTCTATTGACCCTTCTCGGTATGCTTTTGCTTAATTTCAGTGATGATTACCACCACATGCCCTTCACTCAGTTTTAGATTCTTTTCAGATTGAGCTCCATTGAGAGCTAAAACAATATTAACTACCACCCAGGTTTTTGTAACTCTCCATGGTGCTTATCATAGTACTTATACAAAGAGTCCCAACCTAGGAAAAACTTGGTGTCTACTGATGAATAGATGAGCTTCTGTTCATTAACCCATTGGAATTTCATTTTTGTCCTGGTTTTCAGGAAACTAAGAGCTGAGTTTTGTGCTCAGTGGTAGCACATTCCCTGAGTCTGCTTTTTTTTTTAAAAGATTTTATTTATTTATTTGAGAGAGAGAGTGAGAGAGAGAGCACATGAGAGGGGGGAGGGTCAGAGGGAGAAACAGACTCCCTGCTGAGCAGGGAGCCCGATGCGGGACTCGATCCTAGGACTCCAGGATCATGACCTGAGCCGAAGGCAGTCGCTTAACCAACTAAGCCACCCAGGCGCCCCCTGAGTCTGCTTTTTAATATTACTTTTCTTTCTATGCAGTGGGCTTGTTCATATAGCTTTTCTCTCCCACCATATAGCCTCTCTTTTTTTTAATTATTAACTTTACTCCTATGTTAATGTTATACAGTTCTATTCCTCGTATGCTTCCATGGGAGTTATATCAAATCCTTTTGTGGGTAGGTGGAGTTTAATTCTTTTTTTTATTTTTATTTTATTTTTTTTAAAGATTTTATTTATTTATTTATTTATTTATTTATTTATTTATTTATTTATTTGACAGAGAGAGACACAGCGAGAGAGGGAACACAAGCAGGGAGAGTGGGAGAGGGAGAAGCAGGCTTCCCGCGGAGCAGGGAGCCCGACGCGGGGCTCGATCCCAGGACCCTGGGATCATGACCCGAGCCGAAGGCAGACGCTTAACGACTGAGCCACCCAGGCGCCCCAGGTGGAGTTTAATTCTAAATAAAATGATAAATGTTCAATAAATGTTGACTGGATGGAGAGTATGAGGACTTTAGTGGGGATGCAGATTTTCCAAAATCATTAGTGTAGGAAATTAGTTTTGATGTTTTAGTGTCTGCTTATAAGTAAAACACCCAAACCTGTATTGAATTCAGGGGGGAAATCCAATTTTACTTTCTGTTAGTAAATAAAAAAGCATTTCACACCTTATAAAATAACGGTGCTTGGCATGATAATTGCACATGTATACCGTTGAGTATTTTATTTCCTTAGGTACTGAATTGGACCACTCATGAACAGTCGTGGGCTTTTCCTTTTGAGCTGAATCTAAATCTGATTTTCAGAAAATCGCTACTAGAGTGCTCGTGTTCTCCGGGTTGCTGAATTCCAACAACCCTCCTTCAAGGGCATCTCCCGGAGGGGAGCTCGGGTCATTAGCTCAGGGACGATACAAAGCGTTTTGTTCTTTTACTCACGGCCCTTGCCCCGTCTCCCAAGGAGACAAGTTGAATGCCCACTAAATCTTGCTTTCCCATTACTCATTCCGCCTTTTCTCCCAAGGTGGCGTGTGGGAGGTGTTGTGATCGGGCTCGATAAGAATAGGCCGGGAAGCTTGCTGCGGGATAATACACTCATCCCTTTGCGTGTTTCAATTCCGACTGCGCCGTGTTTGGCGGCTTCCCCGAGCGAGAAGCTTTCCAAACGCACAACGACTCCACACTCGGCCGCCTCCCGTATTCATCTCAGCCCCTCCGCAGGCGCCTGGCCCCCACAGTCCCGCCCCGCCCCGCTTGGCCAAGCTTTGTTTCCTTACAAGGCGGATCATCAGGTGGGCCAGGCGCGACCGCTGCCGAATGACGTCCTTCGAGGGTCACCCGTGAGGGGACTCTGGGCGCCGGCCTCCCCAACCCCGCAGGCCCGCAGGCCCGCAGGCCCGCAGCCCCGCAGCCCCGCAGCCCGGCTCCCGCACGGGCGTCCGGGCCACCAGGAGGCGCCCGGGCATCTCCTCAGCTCCTCGCCCCAGCCCCTCTCTGGCTCACCCTGCGATTGGCCGGCCGCCGCGAGCTCTAAGTCCCGATTGGCCGCCTCCCGCGTCAATCGCGGACGTCGGGGCGGGCCAAGGTGACGCGCGGCGGCCGGGCTCGGGGCGGTGTCCGGCGCGGGCGGCTGCGGGCGGAGCTTCGCGAGGAGCGACGAGAGGCAGTCGGACGGCGGCAGCCTTGGGAGGCGCCAGCGCGAGTCCGAGCCGCTCCCCGTCCGCAGCAGCTGCCACCGCCGGCTCGTCGCCGCGCCCCGGCTTCCAGTGCTCCCGCCCTCCCCGCGCCACGGCCCTCGATGCGGGGCCGGGCCGCTGCGTGATGGGGCTGCGGAGCGGCGCCCTGCGGCTCGCGGCAGCCGCTGCTCGCGCTGAGGAGCATCGGTGCCGGACCCCCAGCGCCCCCGCGCGCCGCGGCGCCTGCTGACCCGGCCCGTCCGTCCGCCCGTCGGTCCGCAGCGCGGCTGAGGTAAGGCTGGGGGCGGGCGGCGGTTGGCGCCGCGGCCGCCGGGGCTGGGGAGGGGGGCCTCCGGGGGGGAGGGGAGGCCGGGCCGGGGCCGGGCGGGGTCCGAGCGGAGGAAGCGCGGGGCCGGGGGGAGCCGCGCCGCCCCACCGGCGCACGGGGTGGGGTGGGGCGGGGCGGGGCGGGGGACCCTCCCGGGCCGGCGAGTCCCGGCCTCGGGTCCAGCGGCCTGCTGGGTCGCCCGTAGTGCCTGGCACCAGCCCTCGGCTTCCCCTGAGCCGCCGGACTCGGGCTGTGCCCAGCGGTCAGCCGGCCCGCCGTTGTCGGCTGCCTGCGCTCTCTGCGCACACTGCAGCTCTGTGGAGCGGGCGCCGCGCCGTTTTGAAGCCCCCGGTTCTCGTTTCCCCCGTCCCCTCTCCCCCATTACGGTTGGCGTCGGAGCTGAGCCTGGGAATGGGGTTATGCCCTTTGGCCAGATGAAGGTAGGAAGGGGCTTGGCGTGGCGGAGGGGAAGCCGATGGCGCGAGGAGCGGGGAGAGGAGCGCGATGGAGAGGGAGGGGGCGTGTGGGATGCTGGCCAGGCGCGAGGAAGGCCGGTGTGGTCTCGGCGTTCAGCAGCCCGGGATTACTCTGGCAGCCATATTGGGAGGATGATCTGACAAATCCTTTAGTAGCCAAGTCCGGTTGCTGGAAGGCACCGAGTGACAGCCCTGGCAGCTTTCAGGGTGACTGGCCGCGCCAGAAGCCAAGTTGTGGGGGTTGGGAGCCTGCTCGAGCAAGCTAGTCATTGTTCATGCAACACAACACATTCCGGCCCTAAAACCAGAATTGAACTCCCGAATCACTTTTCTCCTTGGTGAATTGCTAAATGAGCTTCTGTGCTAAAGTGCCTTCAAGCTTCCATTCTTGGGGTGAATACTGTGTTTCTCTATTCATCTTGTACGGCCAGTGCTATGGACGTGGAGGCCTGATAATACTTTACATGTACACAGGCAGAGCTGAGGTTTGCTAAGGCCAGTTTACCAGTACGGAGGCTTCGAGTTGGTATGTTGCACTGGATGGGTAGATTTTCAGAGTAGCTCACCATGCAGAGATTTAGTAACCTGGCATGTTCTGACAGTGGGAGAGGCATGCAGCCGTATTTCTGAGGATGCAGGTTGTCATCTTTGTGGAATCTTGAGGTGGCTGAAATTAGAGTGTCAACAGATCCCTGGCTCACATATCTCTTACTGTTCTAGGCAGCTGTTCTGCCGACACCGAATATGTTGCTTTGTGTCATAGATGGGTCTGTCTGAGCCCCATGAAAGTGTGATGATTGGGTTTGAATAGCTCTTAAGTGATATCATGGTGGATATTTTATTTAAAGGCTGGCATTTTGTCAGCTTAGCTTAGTCATAATAAAATCTTAGCTTGTGTTCTCTTAAGTGAGGTGGTGCTTTCTAATTAACTTGGTGTGGCTGTTGGATTATGAGGCAGGTGGAGTTAAATGTACCGTGTGAGGTTGGAGTATGAGGATTGCACACACCTTGGGATTGTAAAGCAGATCTGGAAATGATCAATAACTGAATTCAGTGTGAGCTTGTAAATCTGGCTTCTCCTACATGCTTGAGGAGAGTGGCATGCCGATCTTGGTGCCTTTTGCTTTCAAACTTCATTTCTTAACAAATTCCTGTGACTTCTTAAGTTGAACTATCTAAAAATTTTCAGTTAGGGTTTTCTAAGAAAAGTCTTAATACTTTATTTTTGTAGTTTTATCGTTAAGCTTTCCTTTTAAAACTTAGTTGAGGGCGCCTGGGTGACTCAGTTGGTTGAGTGACTGCCTTCGGCTCAGGTCATGGTCTCAGGGTCCTGGGATCGAGCCCCGCATCGCATCGGGCTCCCAGCTCGGCAGGAAGCCTGCTTCTCCCTTTCCCGCTCCCCCTGCTTGTGTTCCCTCTCTCGCTGTCTCTCTCTCTGTCAAATAAATAAAATCTTAAAAAAAAAAAACTTTAGTTGAATAAAAAATGGTGTCAATGGAAACTAGTGCTTTTTGTATTACTTTAGCATGAGAGAAATACAGAATGTCTGTTTTAAAATTCCATGCCCCAATTAAGAACTATTTCTAAGTTTTAAATTTTTACAGTTATTTTACTAGCAAAAAACGATCTGAAGAATTGTGGTTAAGTATAATTTTCAGCATTTGATAAAATCAGACCTGATTGTGAACCTGATTTGGTGGCAGAATTTTATGAATCTGTGCAGCTCTGTTCTGATGAAGTTTTTCCAAAATTTATCCAATTAAGTACAGCTTCGAAGGGTTTAAACAGACCATTTTTCCTTCCAAGACCAGATATGAATGCAGCTTTCCTTTTTTCTCTTTCCCACTTTGAATTTGTTCAGGGAATAAACTCTCAAGAAGAGTGCCAATAGTCTCTCCCAGGCCAAAGCTTTCTAGCCCACTTGCCTGTCATGGTCTTGTTCTGTGTACAAGGTAAAGGACAACATTGGGCCCCTGCCTTCTAGTTTGTAAACCCCTTCCCGGGCTGCTAATCACAGCAGGTCTTTTCCAGAAGTGAAGCATATCCTTTTGATCTTGTAAACTGATATAATTTTACAAGGCTCTGAAGTGAAAGGTATAGCCTGTCTACTTCATGTCGTTCTCTTTTAAAGATGGCCTTGTTGGAACAAACTGATGAATTTCTGAGTTCATAAAAGTTTGAATAGCAGTGCACCCCAGAAGTCTGCGGATAAATACACATACTTTCAGAACTTTTCTTTGTGCAGCTCATTAGAATAGAGGATAAATGAAGCAGATGTGACTCTGACAAGAAGTACAGAAGGGTCCTGGGACTTCTCTTTGAGGTGGACTTTTTGGTTAATGGCCCAGTGATTCATTTACACTCACTTTTATGACGTTCATTAGCAGTTTGTTGACAGTGCATATAGAGATTTAGTTCTTTACTCTCAAGGAATGTACACTTTACCATTTGTATACAGACATGGTAAGATAGAGTTAACCCTAGGTCTTTTCCGTTTTAGTACAATTTAGTGGTTTAGTACAATTTAGTCCATGCCGTGGTAGTTTCCATGGTTTTTATAGTCAGAGCCTTTTCCCTTTTGTATTGCCATATAATACTTACCTAATGCTCAGTCGGTACTTTTATGATTGCTTTGTCGTTGTTTGTATATGTGTTTGAAGTCGCAAGATTGTAAATGCCTGATGGATTAAAGAAATTTTTTTTATATTTAATATCACATTGTTTATTCCAAAGTGTATCATTCAACTATACCATCCTCTACCATTGCTCTGTGTGATGTCTTTGATACTTGGCTTAATTCTCCCTCTGTCTGAATTTCTGACATCATCCTGGCAGATGTCAATGACTATAAACAATAACAACAACAATAATGACAAAATAGCTCACTCATATTGAGCCCTTTCTATGTGCTAGGCTCTTTTCCAAGCAGTTTACATTGTTCACTAGTTTAATCCTTGCAACAACCATATGAAATAGATACTGTTACCCCCTATTTTATAGATGAAGAAACAGAGGTTAAGTGACTTCCCCCAGGTCACTAGAAATAAGTACGTAGCCACTGTACTGTATTTCTTCTGTAACTACCTTTAACCTTAAAATTCTTTGACTTCAGTTCAAGCAAACGTTAGCTTCGTGCTGTTCCAGTAACTCAGTATTGTGGCCCCATCTTCTACCTTGTCATCACCTTCAGACCTGTCTTAATGTCAGGTTGTCCTTCAGATCTGAAGCTCTGATCATTTATAGCTCTCACTTTTGTAGTCTCCTTCCGGGTGCTCTTCCACATCGTCTCCTGGTCCGTCAGCCTCTTCCAGATTTTACTTCTTTGTCTTCCTTTAGTACACTTTGACTTTTGGGGTGCACTGCTTCAGCTCTTTTCTCACCAGCACTTGCAGTCTTTCATTCTTTATTATTCTGCAGGACCCATTGTGCAGATGCCAGTCTTACATCCTTCCTGCCACCCATACCTTCTATATTTAGCCTGCCACGGAGAAATCTCACACAGTGCTGGGGGTTAGTGCCACAATTAACGTGTAATCTTAGGTCTCCTCTGAATCTGTCTTTGGTGTCTGTTGAAGTAATTCTGTCCATTTCCCTCCACTGTTCTCCACAGTGACTTCTAAAATTTTGACTGCTTTACTCAAGCCTCCCCACTGCCCCATGCTTGGCTTAAAACCTTACCTACCACCTCATAGGGAAAAAAAGGCATGCACTACCCTCGCCCCCCCCGCCCCCCCCCTCGCGTGCTTCCTCTTCCTCTACTTAAAGAATTCTCTGCCTTCTTTCTTACCTTCTTTCCTCCAGTCATAGAGAAAAGGTTACTCTCCCAACTTCAGCTAATCCCTTGGCCTGTGTTCTGGATGTCATCGCCTTGTAATCTTTAGGGACTTGCTGTATTGGTTACTCTTTTCCCCTTTCACTGTTTCCCTACAGTCCGACTTTAGGGCCTTTGCTCTGACTCTTCTACCTAGAACACTCTTCCCCTGGAGGCTGCTTGGCCAACTCCTTCATGTCCTTCAAGTCTTTGCTTAAACCTCACCACCTCAGCAGGCCTACCCTAACCTCACTTATGCACGTGCACAGCGTCCCTCCCCACCATACTCCTGAGCCACCTGCCTTTGCTGTACTTTCTCTCCCTGGTAATGCTTATTATCACATAGCATTCTGTAGAAATTATTATTTTAATGTCCCCACTTCCCCTACTAGAATTAGAATGTAAGCTTCTCCATGGCAGGGATGTTTATCTGTTTCATTCATTGATTTATCCCAGACTCCTGGAACTGCCTATCACATGGTAGGCACCTAATAAATAGCTGTTGAATAAAGTATAGAAACATGCAGATCTCTCCTAATAAAAACGGGGAAGCGGGGGAGAAAAATCCTTCCTTCATTCCTGTTCCCTCCTAGCTGTCACTCTCCTGCCCCTCACAGCCAAGTTCTGGAAGCAAGGAGGATACTTGTATTTCCACTTCCTGGCTTTCTAGTTACTCC